GAGTTACTGGAAAAACACCAGAAAGCAGACACTGAATCCTGCTGAAACTGGCAGGAAGGGCCTTTATGTGGAGAAACCCTACTTTACTTACTGTTTCTGGAATAAACACCATGGGCCCTTCTCGGAGGACTGCCGAGCTCATTGTATGTCGGGGGGAGAGGGTATATCGGGGGAACACAGACACTTCTAACTTAATGCTGGGTTCAAGGGGTGTATCTAGTGACCAGGAGGTGGACAGAAGGAAGTCTAAGTCTGCCTTCAGGAATGGTTAAAACACACGAAAACATCCACAGGGCTTCCTAGTGGAGAAGATATTGGTATTGGGCTTAAAGGATGAAAAGGTGCTTGCCAGGCATAGATGGAAAGGAGTGTGAAGGAGAGCTTACTAAAGCAGAGGGAAGAGCTTACACAAAGGCAGGGAAGTTTAAAAACAGCATGGTCTGTTGGGGAGAAAGGCAAGCAGCCCATTATGACCAGTACATAATAAGTGTCAAGAGGTGATATCAGAAAGCGGGGCAGAGGCCAGACTGTGGAGGTGTTTACGGCCACAAAGGGGGTTGGCATTTATTCTGGAGTCAACATGGGGCCCATGAACAGTCTGAAAGGAGACTGACATGGTCAGGTGGGTGCTTGAGAATGATGACTGGCAGCAGAGTGCGTTTAAGCCTCTAAGCCCTTTTATTCCTAAGCCATCTGTCAAAATGGCAGCTGGGCTGGGCCTCTGCAGCTGGGAGGGGGGGGGGGGGGGGGGTCAGAGTTGGCCACCTCAAAATGTGTCTCTTTGGCTTATCTTTAAGAACGAAAGACTTTGAAAGAAACTTGGCCTTCCCCCTCACTGCCTAAAAGAATTTAGGATAGAAGGGCCTGTTCCAGGAAGGAGCTAATACCTCAAGATAACCTTGTCTGTAGCCGGCCCAGCAAACACTTGTTTAACAAATATTTGCATTTTCATCTCCATGTAAATTACCTTCCTCCCTTTTGAGGCCCCAAACCAGTACTCCCAGCATGGGCCTTTGTGTTTAGCTGAAGATGGTATTTAAGATGACAACCTCTGCCCTTCTGGTGAGTTGCCCAGTTTTCCTAAGTCTCTCCCACGTATACATGTTATAAAGCTTTGTTTGATTTTCTCCTGTTATTCTGTCTCATGTCAGTTTAACTTATAGCCCAGCCAGAAGGACCCAGAGGGTAGAGGAACTGTCTTCGTACCCTACGGGGCAAGGGAAGCGGTGCATGGTGACCACTCCAGTCTAGCTTCAAGCTGAGGCCCTGATGCTCCTGGCAGGACTGGGGAGGAAGCGGGGGCGGGTTTCCTGTGGGGTGGCTTAGTGATGGGCCCAGTGCAGCTCTTGAGGCCTGGAGGCAGGCCTCCGAGGATTGGCTCTGGGTTCTAGGGCCCTGGTTTCAGCTCCCCTGACTGGGGCAGTTGTAGCATCCCCACTGGGACGCCAGCCTGGAAAAGGTCAGGAACCAGAGGTAGCTAGAACCAGGCCCAAGGGTGGTACAGTCAGGGACACAGAGGTCACTTGTCTGGAAAGCCTGGAGGCCTCTCTGCTCCAGCCTTACTGGCGCAGGCTGGAGAAAAAGATCTTGAGCGAAGTTTGACTTGGCTTATTTGCCATGTGACCTTGGCTGAGTCACTCACTGGACCTTAGTTTCGCTGGGTGGGGGTGGGGGAAGTGGCGGGTGGGAGGCTGGGGCCAGGGGGGAATGCCTAGCAGTGGGGTCGTTATGAGGGTTGAGATTTGCCATGTAAAGAGCCTGCACAGGGCCTTCTATAGGCAATTGTAACCCCCTTTTCTGGGAGCAGACAGGACCAGACTGCTTCAGGTCAAGAAGGACCTGTCTCATGCACGAGGGCCTTGGCTGCCTGACGCCAGAAATTCTCTTTTCCCATCAGCCTCCCCTTCGGCCCTTGACTGCACCTGCCTGGGCCACATCAGTTCCCTTGTGCCTGGGGAAGGGGCTAAGGAACTCAAGTAGACTGGGCACAGCCTCATTTCACACACTGCATCCATTCCCTCTTCCCAGGTTCGTATGTCTGCCGTAGTCTTCACAGCAGCCCTCTGCACCCCGTTTTGGGAACGAGGAAGTTGGCTCAGAGAGCTCAAGTGACTGCCCTGTGACCTATTTTTTGTTGGGCCACCTCATCTGTCAAATGGGAGAGTTTGTTACCTTGAAGGTGGTTATGAGGATTAGGTGTTTAAGCCCCAAGGGTGTTGAGTGATCCCTTCCTCTAAGAACCTTTAGAATAATCTTGATGCCGGAAGAAACCAGAGAAGAAAGAGCTGACTCGTGCCCTGCCCAGCCATCCTCAGCTCTTCTTCCCTTCCCACCCAGCTGATTGCCGGGAGAACCAGATTCGGTGGATACTTAGCAATCCCTACTATGTGCTGGTGCTACCTGTCATTTAATTCTTTGAGCCTGTGAGATAAGGCTATTTATCCCATTTTCCCGATGAAGAAATGAGGTTGAAAGAGTGTAAAATTTGGGCTCGGGTCACGTGGTAGTTCAGTAGCAGAACTGAGGGACTCAGCACAGAACCCTGACCATCAAGCCTTTGCTCTTTTTGTGACGCTGGGGCCTCTTGCACCCCAGACAGTAGCCTGGGAAGTCGCTCCACACTTTGCTGGTTTAGGAGTTTAAACCTGGTTCTTTCAGCAAGAATGGAACAACTTTAGGGCAAGCTTCCCCCAATACGTATCTCCCTCCAGCCTGATTTCTGGGTCTTGCTAAACCCCTCAAAATGGCCTGGTCCCATTGGGGCCTAGCCCCAAGTCCATCTTCTCTTTTCTTCTTACTGCCTTAAAAAAAGAAAGCAAAGTCGGGGTCACTACACTATTTCCTTCCATTCCTGTCCTGCTGCCAGCAAACCGCAGCTATTAAACCTGGGTGGCAACAAACTGGCTGAGGCTACTTAGTAACCAGGGGGGCCTTTCCTCAAAGGCAGGACAGGGCTGGTAAAGGCCCGGGGGAGCCTGGCCCAGGAAGTCTGTGTTCTTGCATGAGCTGCTCTAGGCAGGAGGCTGTGACCATGGAGGAAGCCTGGCTTGTGGTTCATCCTTTGTGCCCACAGCAGGGTTGACAGATCAAATACAGGATATGTTTGGGACATACTTATACCAAAAAATTATTTCATTTATCTGAAATTCAAATTTAACTAGGTGTCTTGAATTCTTATTTGCTAAAATCTGGCAATCCTAGACTCTGGGCAAATCACATGACCTCTCAGAGCTTTGGTTTGCTCACTTGAAAAATTAGGCGAAAACGCCCTCCCCTTAGGGACCTGTGAAGATCAGTAAGTTTCTAATGAGGAAGCCATTGCTGTTTATCACCACTCCTAGCCCGGCATCTGGCTTGGTCCTGCTAACCCGGAGCACCCTAGCTCTCCTTCCGCAGCACATCTCACAAGCCTTGCAGTTTGCTTGCTGGGAAAGAACAGATGGTTGAGCTGATTACTGAACCTAGGAACCCTTTCCCAGGGCCTGACTGACCATCCAGGCCCAGCTGGACCCATTCAGCACTTAGTGGCTGCCAGGGAGGACAGCCGCCCAAAGGACAGTGACAGCTGCAGCCCTGTTCTTCCTCTGCAGCAGCAGCAGCTCCAGGACCTATGAGGCTAAGAGGAGGATTGGCAATTGTTTCCCCATGATTTTATCCATCTTCTGGGGACTGTGCTGTGGCCAGGCCTGGAGGGTCCGCCTTGGGCCTGGTCTGCGGCTCCCGGAGGCGGAGCCATCTTGGTCTTGTAATTTGCTCTTCCCTGCCCCCCAGAAGCCTCACAGAGCCAGCAAAGCCAGCCCTGCTGAGGCGGTGGCCTACCTGTCGCACACCTGGAGGAGGAAGTCATTGACCAGGCTCTCGTGCCGGCTGCAGATGCTCCTCTGGAAGGCGCTCTTGAGCCAGTCCTCAATGCTGCACACCTGCACGCGGCTGGAGTGCCAGCAGATGGAGAGGCTCCTGAGCGCCGGGCTCAGGAGGAAATTGTCCTTCTTGAGTTCTGTGAGGGAGCGAAAGTGCAACAGGGGCCAGAGTGCTGGGTCCTCGAACACGTCCTGGAGCTGGGGGCATGTCCTGGCCAGGTTCCTCCTGCTGTCCTTGTCCAGGAAGGAGAAGAGGTGCAGCAGGCACTCCCGGTTGAGCTGGGTGATGTGCATGGTGAGGGCGGCCACACTGAGCGGCCTGCAGCCCAGGACCTGACCTACCTCCCGCTCCTCCTCCCCGGCGCGGGGCTGGTGGACATATATGGTTGAGGAATGGTGTTTATTTTTGGCCAACAACTGGTGCTGAAGCTCCGCGGGGGGAGCCATGACCCAGACATACGTGCAGCAGGCTGTGGTTCTCCTTATGTTCAGAGGAACTGGAAATCCTGGCAGAAAAGCAGCTATTGAAGTTAAATATCCTTAAAAGGGATTTCTTTTCCTTTTAGCTGACAATAGTGTTTAGCAGAGAGCTCTTTAGGCTTTTCCCGAGGCATTTTCCTTCAAGGTGGCTGGCCAGACTCTCTGGGAGGGACTCTGATAGTAAATGGTAACTGTTTTCATTTTCTAGTACATCCATCTGAGTCTTCTGCCTCCCCTCTAAGTAGGAAGAAGCCTGTTGTCTCTAAAGGGCTCAGGGTATGGTTTTGTTTTCAGAGCTGCAAGCAGACAGCACACGTGAGGCCTCTCTGTTCTCTCTGCTCAGTAGTGATGGTTTCCAGGCCAGGCTGAAGCACCTGCAAATCCCCTGCCCTCCACCAGGCAACGGGATTTCCTTGGCCTCCCAACGGGCTCTATTTTTACTCTGAGTTGTTTCATAAAAGATCCTAAGTAGCTTTTCTTTCCAAGCTGCTTCTGTGTGTATGTGTGTGTTGGGTTTTAAACTTAAGTTTACTTGGCTTTAAAATTTTTTCCAGTTATGTCTCCTGCTTTATCTAGCCTGTATTTCCCCAGAACGTCAGGATGGAAGAGGTGGCTTTTAATATAAAACCGCTTGAAACAACTCTAAGTTATTTAAGTATTTTAGTGTCAGCTTGCCCTTTAAGCCCTCCTGTTTGTGGGTACCTTCAGTTCCACTGCCACCCCTGCTCCCCACCCTGCAGGTACGATCCGTTGTTCTCCCTTCCCAAAGAAATGGAGATTGCTCGGCAGGCCAGGCGCAGTGGATCTATTTTGCAATACTTCCCTGCCGGTCCTACCACAGCCCTACTGTGAATTCTGAGCTCTGTAACTGGTTGGTTTGTTCGCGGGCCGCTGACAGTCTGCCGCGCACCAGCAGCAGCTTTCCTCCGCCAGCCCGGGAGCAGCACCTCAGTGCTCACCTTGGCTCGTTCACCCATTTCAGTGGAACTGGAAGGAACGGGAATACTCTGTCTTCCAGTTGTGTGGAGTAACACAAATAAGTGTCTCTGCTGGGCCCTCTTCTGGAACGAAGGCTTGGTCAGGCTGGCACGCTTTGCCTTTACAAGCAGAATGCAGCCAAGGAGACAGTCGCTGTTCTCGCCAGCCCCATTCCTCTGAGAAGCCGTCTCAGCCATCCTCTGTGCCTCGATTACTCCACCACCGCCAAGGTGAAGTGCAAGGGGTGACTTCTCTTAAAAAAAAACATAAACCAAGAAACTGCTAAAAGGAAGGATTTCTCAAGGAAAGGGTAACTAGCTACTGCTAATATTTTAAACGAATCATGTTAATTGTTCAGAATTACAGCCGACAGGAAGCCCCTCTCTGGGCTGGTTGTACTTCTCCACTCAAAGGAGCACACAGCACCATAGACGGGTTTAATAGAAAGCCCGTTATCTCCACTTTCCCTCCAAGATCCTTTCCAAACCGATGCTTTTCAGAGGGCTGAGCCCTGGCTCGCTGGCTGCTGGGAAGAGTCATTTTGGTTCCCTGTGGCCTCCAAGCTGCACTCATACAGCCCTGCTGGGACAGCAAAGGCCTGGCAGGGTGAACAGTGAGCCACGGGCCGCCCTGCTGCTCCGGGTGGGCTGGAGGAGGCCTCCCAGAACGCAGGGTGGCCCACGTGGCCTGCAGGGCGCGGTGCTGATGACGGCAGCTGCTCCCTTTTGTCTCTGGAGCGCAGCTCCTTGGCTGCAGCAGCAGCAGCTGCACAGCCTCTGACCAGCACAGCTGCCAAAGGGAACGTGCAACTCAGGACCTGGAGGCAAAACCATTTGGGGTACAGGCGCCTCTGTCTTCAACTTTAGAAGACTGATAGGAACAGGAAAACCATGAGTGTGGACACAGGTGGTTCTTGTTTTATTCTGTTTGCAGGGGACGTGGGGGCAGAATAGTGTACAGGAGCTTACCGTAAAGCAGAATATTTATTTTTTTTAACAACAGCACTTATTTGCCTGTTTTACTTTAAAAGATGTCGAGTATCCTTTGCTCAGAGCCCAAAATCTGGTTGCTCAGGGTAGAGTCTAGCCTGAAGGAGGACGCGGACCTCATCTTTATAGGATCTGCAGTCACAGGTGGACGGGCTGATTTCACTCAGGCTCCTGACTGCAGGCCCTAGAGCATCTGCCCCGCCACCCTCCGCCCCGTGGGTCAGTTCAGCCCGCCCCTACGCCAGCAGCCCCAGGTGGTGAGCACTCTAAGAACTTACTGCCTCCTGACGGAGAAGGTCCAGGGCTTGAGCCAGTACGTCATCATTTACTTGGCTCCACTGAAAGGTGTTCAGAAATAATAGTCAAAAGGAAAGAGACCAGACCTTTAATGATACTTTCCATAAAACAGTTCAGGTTGGTGAAGCAGAAAGGGGATGTGATTACAACTTAAGTGAAATCAGTCGCTTGCACAGTTAATCCTCTCAGCAGCAAACAAACTAGGTTTTAATGGCAAATGATCACATCACAGCACAACCAACACTCGGGGAGGGCCACCTGGGGCCCAGCACAGCAGACCTGAGGGCGGAGGTGCCGCACCCAGTGAGGTGAGGCAGAGACCTCGGCCTACGCATGACACCGCCACACACCCACCTCTTCCTGTGCTGTGGACGTGTTCCTGTGGCTACACTCCAGTCACCTGGGACCGGTGCCCTGGCTGCAGGAACAGACTCTGCTCATGAGCTTTTCCAGGGCCCAAGTGAAGAGGCCACTTCAGCAAGAGAGGGTATGTGAGAGAGCTCAGGGAACGGTGGAGGTGGAAGTGGGATAAGCATATCTAAGTAGACTTATTACACACACTAAACCAACGAAGGAGAGGTTTGGTTTTAACAATAAATATGTCCCCAACCCCGGAAACCAAGCTGCTGAGTAGGTTCCACAGGTGAGATACACATTTAACACTTGACCAGGGCCAGCACACTCTCCTGGTTTAATTCTGTTACAGCTGTCATCGCTCAACACTGAGTAGAATACAGTGGATAAGCAAAGGTTTCTCCACCATGGAGAGAGATTTGTGTTGCCACAAACTGTTTCTGTCACCCACCTGTGTGGGAGGACTTCTGAGAAAGTTTCCTTGTTCCAAGGAGCTATGTGACTTGGCATGAGGCCCCGCCTCAGCATAAGCTCTCTGAGTGAGAAGCCACACAGATGCTAGAGACAACATGGCACGAGGGAAGAGCCCTGAAGAGCACAAAAAGATCAGCTTTTAAAGTAGGTGTGGGAAGGCTACACAGTTAAATTTTTAAAATACAAATAGGCACATTTACGTCTCCGGTGTTCAAGTGCACAATTCAAAGGGATCCAGTCGCTTTTCCAAAGAGCCTTTGTGATTTCATTCAAAGGTTTCTGTTAAGTAAAATCAAGCAATAAAAACACTACAAAAATTCAAACAGGAGATGTGTTCATCTCTTAAGCCAACCGTGTTGCCTCTCTGAGCATCACTTTCCCCAACAAAGTGGTCTGTCTGTTGCTAGTTCCATTTGGTATATAAAGACAGCTTTTCTCCAGCATCAACACTGCCCAAGGCTCGACTGTTGCAGTCATAACAGCTGCCCATTCAGAGACTAACGATCCAAATGCAGATGTCAGAAGTTACAGCTGTGTACCTTCTAAGCAAAAGAGCCTGGGTTCAGAGATAGATCAAAGGAGATGCACATTTCAAGTTCAATTACATGTGGTGTTAATGTATTGATATGTTAGATCAAATTATGTGAAACTGTCAGTTTCGTAGATCAAAAACAGTCAAATATCACAATTTCACGAGTCAACCTAATGCAATTTAGCATTGTAAACTATTTTAAATACCATTTTTCCCTCTTAATTATCTTCTAGACCCTGTTTCTTAGCTGTAAGACCTAACTAAACATGACGGCAAAGCTTTTTTCTCTGGAGTGAAAATTTAGACCAGTGCTGTCCAGGAGAACTCTACACATTGATGGAACTGCCCCAGACCTGCGCAGTCCTATGCCACGTGTGGCTGCCAAGCACTTGAAATGTGGCTAGTGTGACTGAAGAACTGAGTTTTTAATTTAATTTTAATTAAAATTTAAATAACCCCATGTGGCTAGTGACCGCCATATTGGATATTACAAGTTTAGACATAATTGCAATTTACTCCTAGTCATGTTGAAGTGTTTAGCAGTTGTTTTCTGCTCTGAGAAAGTGGGATTTATCCAGCTAATATTAAAGTGGCAATAGAACCACATCTGCTCTTGCAACTTCAAATATCCGACCTAGGAGGACAGCCACTAGGCTTTGTTTTACATTCACACTCTTAAAAAAACTTGACCATCTTTCCTTTTAATATAAAAGATAAGATTACCAAAAAGCCTGGTTGGCTGGCTTAACATGAAATACATTCTGCCCCTTGAATTGAGAAGGAAGGAAAATAATGATTGGAACATGAGAACAGTGCATGGTCCCAGGCCTACAGGCCTATTTTGGAGTTCCTTCTCTCAATAATTTTCAAGTAATGCCACCATCCCCCCAAATCAACAGACTGGCTTGGAACACTTGCAGAAATCACAATTACCTTGTTTAGCTGGGATTCTGGTTCCAAATTTCAATTTGAGTTCAATCTAAATAGCACTTGTACCTATTTTTCTTGAAAACAATTTTAAAACAAAGACTACTAAACTCACGAATAGAAACTCTACTTATCCAAGTGAGAATATTTTCACCTTGCTCTACTATCAGGATGGGCCAGTGAAAGTTGTTAAAACCCAGAGTAGCAAAGACTTGAATTTCCTTCTGAGAAGCAGACCCCACAGTGTTACTTCAAGTGTAGGTGATGGTCAGAGTCAGCTCTGGAGCTTACAGCTCAGCCTCAGATGGCCAGGCGGATAAGAAGACTAACGTGAGCATGCAGCTCTTCCTGGGGCCACAGCTAGAGGGGGAGTCAGATGCTGATTCGAAATGGCAAACACAAGTTATGGTTTCATCTCACTGGATAACACCTATACCAGGTAGCTGAGTCACAGACTTTCTTAAACATTAAATGTATTTGTTCTTATTTGGACTTTTCTGTACTCCTATCTCCTCCAGGAAAACACAAACAAACAAAAAATACCCCAAAACCAAAAAAAAACCAACAAATAGAGTAATTTTTGGATTTGCAGTACAGGTACAACTGACCCAACAAATTTATTGACTTAGTGCTGATAAACAGCAACCTTGAGAGACACCAAGAGCAGCAATTACCTGGTCTACTTACAGACGCCCTCTCAGTTACCTTTTACAAGCAAAAAGAATGATTACTGAGCAGTCGCTGAAATCGCGTGTACACATGATCCTTGATTTGGAGCCGCCTCATCTCCATGAAGCCGTGGAAGGCGCAGACAGCACGGCGCTCGCCACACTTGGGAGCGCAGCCTGCTTCCAGCACGTGAGAGTAACGAAGCAGTGATGCAAATGTGCCTCGAAGTGAGAACTGAAGACTAATATAAAAAGTCAAATAGAACTAAGTTCTTCAAACTACATAAAAAACTGAGTTATTACAACTAAAGCAGCAAATCAAAATATCTGCTGAGGTTTCCTGGTAGAACTAAAAAAAAATTAGTTGGTGCCCATCTTCAATAAGTCACTACCATTGACAAAATAAAACTAAACCCAAAATAGGAAATTGAAAAGTGCATAATGAAATTAAATCTTGGATCAAGTATTTATGGAAAATTGGAAATGTTTGTCCGGCATAGTTGACAAATAATGATTTAGAGGAGGTATTAAAGTTTATCGGATCCAGCTTTGGCCTGACGTTCCACATAAAACAAGATGTAGGCCTTTGCCTTCACAACGGTGTCTTCATCAGTCAGTGTTACAGTACTGTCATTGAAATGGAACCAGCGACCTTCGTGAGTTGCATATGCTGTGTAATGTCCAGAACCGACCCTGTAAGAAAAAGTCAAAAGATCGAGGAAAAAGACTACAGAAATCACAAAAGGATCTATGCAACCATATAATTTGTTGGATATACAATAAGTTTTAATAATTATTGTAATTAATAAATCCTTGAGACTTGTGGTTTAAGATGGCTGATTGAGCTCACGTGCGTTTTCTCCTCAAAACCCACTGAAATGACAAGAAATATACTGACACTGGAAAACAGGGACGAGTGCCATCAACTGACCAGAAACTGAGGATTTTCTAGAACTCATAAAGTAGTGTTCACATGGCACCGGATTAATGGAGAAACCAAACACCTAAGGAACCCTCAACCTAACAAGGATAGGGCAAGGCCTATGGCAACAGGGAAAATCGAGGACCAAACTTCCCATCTGAGGTAAGAAAAACCTGAGCTTACGAAAGTTCTCTGCTTCTGGGGAAGTGCCTTCCCCCCTACTTTTGCCATGGAGGACTTTTCTCTGTCAGCGTGCCCCACCCCCTCACACATGGAGCCCTAAAGTCAGGCCTCCCAGGCAGGAGAAAAACCTGCACGTCGAACAGAGACCTTTATAACTGCTAGACAGACCTTACCATTTACCAATAATGATCGATCTCATCTTTCATTTATCATGATTCTGAATAAACAACCAAAAATCAACCAATTCTTGAAGGGAGAAAAATAGCATGAAAGAGAAGTGCAGGAAGAAGAAATAATTAACCACTGAGCAACTTAATGCAGAAAACCAGAGAGAACTTTAAAAATTCTAATTAGTATCAATGGTTTCTAGAAGATACTGCAACCATCAAACAAGAATAGGCTGTTATGAAAAACAGTTATCAGAAATATGTAATGGCCACAATATAAAAATTTTATGGAGGAGCTAATCTTCAATTTGGATACAGATGAAACCCAAATTGGTGATTTGGAAAAATAGGCCATAGCAGTCTTCAGAAACAAAGAGATGGAAATTAACTATTAAAGAATAGTTAAAATGTGTGAAAGATAGATCCAGGAAATTCACTATACTTCTAATAGGGGTTCCAGAAGAGCCAATAGAGAATGGGGTGGAACAAATAAACATTTCCATGAGCTGAAGACACCAGACTAAAAGTGTCCCTATCAACGTGCAAGCAGGAAGACATCTGATGTAATTTCTTAAGTCCAAAGACAGAGGATCCTGCAACCTTCCACAGGGAAACAAACAGGTTGCCTATAAAGGAGTGATAGTCAGACTGGTAGTGGCCTTGTCATCGATAACTCTATGCGTGGTGAAGCCAATGGGGCAACGTCTACAAAGTTCTGAGGGAAAAGGATTTTCGACATGGACAGTGGTTTCTTCAAGTATAGTAGTCCACCTTTGAAGGTAAAATTAGCCATTCTCAGGCCAGAAATCAGAAGGTATATATCCTTAGTACAAACTTTCAGGAAAAAAGTAATCAAGAATGTTATTCAACCAAATAAAAAATGAATCTTTAAAGTAGATGACATGAGGTAAATTATTCCAAATAAATTCCCATTCTTCCTCGATTTAAATATCAATTGGCAAAGGAAATAAACAACTTTCGAGTAAAGACTGCTCAGGATTTTGTGGACAAGTAAATTGGGTTCTGCGTGCTGGGCTCAAATGAACCATTCTCCATCTTGCTTTCGTGTCGTCTCTTCACGCTTCACAACATCCTCTCAGGAATCTTCTTTGGCACCAAGGTTGAAGGAAAGTTCTACTTTACCCACTTTAATGCATCTGACCTCATTTGTTAGGGAGAATTATCAAGAATGGTGCAAAACTGCAGGTCTTCACTGTGCTGTGCCCACCCACGAGAAGCCTGCTGACTTACTCACCCGGAACCATGGTGCACCACCACGGCAGCGAGGTCGTACAGGCAGTTCTCCGGGCCGCTGTTCTCAGGCTACAGAACAAGGGAGGAGAAAGCATCCCAAGGCTGAGTTAGGACCAGCGATCAATGACATTAGTACCTCCTACCTCAAGGACCTCTACCCTCTCCCTGTGAGCTTAATTTTACAAGAGCCATCTTTGCACCATTCTAATAAAGGTAATAATCTTACCTCTAGTAAGTAGCATTTCATGTCTAGGCCTCTCAGTGGAAATTCTACATATGTATCAACTTTGTTTCTTAAATAGGCTGTCCAGTGAAACCTTTTCAAATGTAAGCATAGCACCTGGATGAGAGAGAAGGACAAAGATTGTAAACAAACACCTAATTTGTCTTTCAGTCAAAATTAACTACTTGGTACTAACGTCTCTCAAATATTTTAGGTGGCCTATCAGTTTTTCTTTTTGATCCTTGATACTGCTTTCTTCCACAAATACCTTATTGTGATATTGTGATTTATAATACGAAATATATATTTGGCCTTTGTCCCCATTTCTGCCACTGAGCTCCTAAACCCTCAGAATTTCCTAAGTGAGGAGAGCAATAAAAGTGTCTTTTGTTATGTTAATGAGCTGACTTTTGGACCACATCTAAGGAATGGGGCTGGCTGCCAGGAGAACCAACCAAGTGATTAGAGCGTTGGAACTCTGAGTCCCACCTCCCCCCTACATCTCCGGGGAGGGGAGAGGGGCTGAAAATTGATAATCAATGGCCAGTGATTTTAGTAGTCGTGCCTAGGTAATGAAGTCTCCATAATACCTAAAAGGACAGGGTTTGGAGAGCTTCCAGGCTGGGGAGCCAGAACACTTCCACTGCCAGACAAAGCCCTTTTGTTTGGGACCTCGCCCTACCTATCTCTTCATCTGGTGACTGATTTGTATCCTTTAATATTCTTTGTAATAAATTGGTAATCTAATGAGTAAACTGGTTTTCTGTTTACTCACTAGAGTAAACTAGAGTTCTGAGAGCCACTCTAGCGAATTAATCCAGTGGGAACTCCTGATTTACAGCCAGTCTGTCAGAATTACAGACACCAACCTGGACTTGCAACTGGCATCTGAAGTCCAAGGAGGGGGTCCTGGGAAACTCCAATCTATAGTTTGTCAGTCAGGAGCATAAAGTAACAAGCTGGGTTTGCAACCGGCCTCTGAAGTGGAGGGCGGTTTTGTGAGACTGGGCCTTCAACCTGTGGAATCTGATGCTGTCTCCAGGGAGACAGTGTCAGAATGGAGCTGAAGTGAAGGACACTCGGCTGGCGTTGGAGCACTGCTTGTTGGTGGTGTGGTAGGAAACCTGCCCCCTCCACACACCAGAAATTATGATCAGGACACATTTAATCATGCGTTCTCAAAAGGGTTTATTCACATAGTCTGAAGTTACAAAAACAATCTGTCTTCTCATCAATCATAAGCAATTTTTCCCTCGAAATTGCATTATAATTGGAAACTCAACACTTACCTTGGGTAGTTTTTGAATCCAAAACTTTTTAGTGGACTTTTGTTTCTTTTTGCATTTGTGGCACATATATAACTCTGTCTCATCAAGTTCTTCTAAGTCGGTAAAACTTCGAAGACAATCTAAAACCAAATTGATTTTGGCAGCATTACAAAAGGATGCCTTTTATAGAGGCACTGTACTGTAGAGAAAAGACGACTTTGAAGCTGAACAACTCAGGCTCAAATCTCTGCTTTATTACCTATATGACCTTGGAAAAGTCAGCCTTTCTCAGTTGCAAAATAGAGACCAAAAAATAACAATACCTACTTTAAAGATCTGTTGTGAGGAAGATAAAATAATGTGTGTAAAGTGCCTGACATCACTTCTGACACCTGGTAATAATCATTTAATGGCAGATGGTATTATTGGTGTTGAGTTTGCTATTATTAGTGAAAGAATTAGTCTGGATAACTCTGATAAAAATGGTTCCCTAATGAAATCAAAGTTCGAACAGCAATATTCTCTCAATATCTGACATTACAGAGGATGAAGCCCCAAGTTCATAAAAAGGCAAATTTAGATCAAACATTTTCAGAGTCCTAACTTATTAAAAAATAGATTATGGGGGGCTGGTCCCATGGCCGAGTTGGTTAAATTCACACACTCCAGTTTGGTGGCCTGGGTTTCGCCACTTCAGATCCAGGGCACAGACCTACGTACCGCTCATCAAGCCATGCTGTGGCGGCACCCCACGCAGAAGAACTACAATGACTTATAACTAGGATACACAACTGCGTACTGGGGCTTTGGGGAGAAAATAAAAAAAGAAAAGATTGGCAACAGATATTAGCTTAGGGCCAATATGAAAAAAAAAGATCATAGGAGGCTCCATCACCGGCCTCCCTGCTATACCCCCAAGGAATCCTTTGTTCCAGACTTTACTCTCAATCCCCCGGACAAACCACAGGGACATTTTTTTCTTTTAAAGATTTAATTGTGTAATCTGGGGTTTGGTAAACTGCAGCCCGAAGCCAAATACAGCACCTGGTTTTGTAAATAAAGTTTTGTTGGAACACAGACACACCCATTCATTTATATACTGTCTGTGGCTGCATTTACACAACAGCAGAGTTGACTAGTGGGGACACAGACTATGTGCTATAAAACCTAAAATATTTACAGCCCCTGAAAGTCCTGCTGGGATCAGGACTACAGGCATACCTTGTTTGATTGCGCTTGGCTTTACTGCGCTTCACCGATATTGCGTGGTTTTTTACAAGACCTCCACCGGCAAGAAGATTATGGCTCACTGAAGCTTCAGATGATGATGGGTATTTTTTAGCAGTGATGTATTTTTTAGTTAAGGTGTATGTACATTGTTTTTTAGACATAATGCTATTGCACACTTAATAGACTACAGTATAGTGTAAACATAACTTGTATACGTACTGGAAAACCAAAAAATTTGTGTGACTTGCTTTATTGCAATATTTGCTTTATTGCAGTGGTCTGGAACCGAACCCGTGATATCTCCAAGGTATGCCTGTATATGCAGAAGGCTATCTAAAATGTATGCATTGTTCCGTAAAGAATTAATAATACATTCTTTTTAAAGAAGAATCTGAATGCCTCTGTACCCACTACTCAGGTAAAGAGATGGCTTCTCCCCAGTACTTGAGGAGCCAGAGTTTACGTGACGGCATCGGCTCGAGTTGTCCGGTGGGCAGCAGGTGCGGGAGCCCTGTGAGGAGCTTCCGTATGCCTCCTCCCAGTCACCAATCAGCCCCCTCGAAGCAGCCATGATCCTGACGTGTGTAAAGCATTTCTTTGCTTGTCTATATAGACTGACCCTATACATGCACCTCTAGACAATATAATGTTTAGTTTGAAAAGTTGGGTGGCAAGCACAAACCTAGCTGTATAAGGAAAAGCAATACTGTCTCTGTACGCAGTGTTCAGCCTTGGCCTCCAGGAGAGAATAACAGGCACACCTCGTTTTAGCGTACTTTGCAGATATTGGGTTGTTTACACGCCCTCCACCAGCAAAAAAGATTATGACGCACTGAAGGCTCAGGTGATGGTTAGCATTTTTCAGCAATAAAGTATTTTTTCAGATATGTACATTCGTTTTTTTAGACATAATGCTATTGCACACTTAGCAGACTAGAGTGTAGTGTGAACATAACTTTTATATGCACTGGGAAACCAAAAAATTCATGGGACTCGCTTTATTGTGGTGGTCTGGAGCCAAAGCCGCAGTGTTTGAGGTAGGCCTGCCTCTTGCAGGGCAGTGAGTGGGCAGCTCTAGGAGGGTTTCTGGGTGGGCTGGGTACTGCACAGGCCAGTATGGGGCACGTGGGCCCATAGGTTCTTTTTGTTTTAACTAAGGTATAATTGACATACATCATTATATTAGTTTCAGGTGCACAACATAATGATTCAATGTTTGTATATATTACAAAATGATCACAGTAAGTCTACTTAGCGTCTGTCACTACGCTTGGTTACAAAAACTTTTTTCTTGTGATGAGACTTTTAAGATTTACTCTTAGCAACTTTCAAAAAATACAATACAGGGGCCAGCCTGGTGGCGCAGCGGTTAAGTTCACATGTTCCACTTCGGTGGCCCGGGGTTCGCCGCTTCGAATCCCAAGTGCGGACATGGAACCACATGGCAAGCCATGCTAGAGTAGGCACCCCACATATAAAGTGGAGGAAGATGGGCACGGACATTAGCTCAGGGCCAGTCTTCCTCAGCAAAAAGAGGAGGATTGTCAGCAGTTAGCTCAGGACTAATCTTCCTCAAAAAAAAAAAAAATACAATACAGTATTATTAACTATAGTCGCTATGCTATATATTACATCCCCGTGACTTATTTATTTTATAAGTGCAAGTTTGTACCTTTTGACCCCCTTCACCCATTTCTTCCACCCCAACCCCTGCCTCTGGCAACCATCAATCTGTTTTCTCTATGAGCTTGGGTTTTGGAGGGGTGGTTTTAGATTCCACGTGTAAGTGAGATCATGCAGCATCTGTCTTTCTCTGTCTGACTTCACTTAGCATGATGCCTTCAAGGTCCATCCATGTTGTCACAAATGGTGGATTTCATTCTTTTCTTTTTCTCTTTTTTGAGGAAGATTAGCCCTGAGATAACATCTGCTGCCAATCCTCCTCTTTTTGCTGAGGAAGACTGGCCCTGAGCTAACATCTGTGCCCATCTTCCTCTACTTTATATGTAGGATGCCTGCCACAGCATGGCTTGATAAGCGGTGTGTAGGTCCACACCTGGAATCCAAACCAGCGAACCCTGGGCCACCAAAGTGGAACATGCAAACTTAAGTGCTGCACCACCAGGCCAGTCCCTCATTCCTTTTTACGGCTGAATAATATTCCATATATTTCATATATATACACACACACACCACATTTTCTTCATCCATTCACCCACTGATAGACACTTACGTTATTTCTATGTCTTGACTATTGTAAATAATGCTGCAGTGAACATGGGGGTGCAGATATCTTTTCAAGTTAGTATTTTTATTTTCTTTGGATGAATACCTAGAAGTGCAATTGCTGGATCACATGGTAGCTCTATTTTTATTTTTTGAGGAACCTCCATACTATTTTCTGTAGTGACTGCACCAATTTACATTCCCACCACCAGTGCACAAGGGTTCCCTTTTCTCCACATCCTTGCCAACACTTGTTATCTCTTATCTTTTTGTGATAACAGCCCTTCTAACAAGTGTGAGATGATACCTCATTGTGGTTTTGATTTGCGTTTCCCTGATGATTAGTGATGTTGAGCATCTTTTCATGTACCTGTTGGCCATCTGTATGTCTTCTTTGGAAAAATGTCCATTCAGATCCTCTGCCCATTTTTTAATCAGCTTGTTTGGTTTTTTGCTATTTGGGTTGTATGAGTTCTTTATACATTTTGGATATTAACCTTACCAAATATACAATTTGCAAATATTTTCTCTCATTTGGTAGGTTGCTTTTTCATTTTGTTGATAGTTTCCTTTGCTGTGAAGAAGCTTTTTCTTATTTTTCTCTTTCTCTCCAAAGCCCCCCAGCACGTAGTTGTATATTCTAGTTGCAGGTCTTCTAGCTGCTGTGTGGGACGCCGCCTGAGCGTGGCTTCACGAGCCGTGCTAGGTCCACACCCAGGATCTGAACTAGTGAAACCCTGGGCCGTCGAAGCAGACTGCATTAACTTAACCACTCGGGCACAGGGCAGCCCTGAAGAAGCGTTTAAGTTTGATGTACTCCCATTTGTTTATTTTTGCTTTTGGTGTCAAATCAAAAAATCATAGCTAAGACCAATGTCAAGGAGCTTACTGCGTATGTTTTCTTCTAGGACTTTGATGGTTTCAGGTCTTATGTTCAAGTCTTCAATCCATTTTGAGTTAACTTTTGAATATGGTGTAAGAAAGCAGTCCACTTTCATTTTTTGCAAGAGGCTGTCCAGTTTTCCCAACACTATTTATTGAAGAGACTGTCCTTTCCCCATTGTATATTCTTGGCTCCTTTGTTGTAAATTAATTAACCATATTTGTGTAGGTTTATTTCTGGGCTCTCTATTCCATTCCATTGATCTATGCATCTGTTTTTATGCCAATACCATACGGCTTTGATTAATACAGCTCTGTAATATAGTTTGAAATCAGGGAGCAGGAAGCCTCCAGCTTTTTTGTTCTTTCTTAAGATTGCTTAGGATATTTGGAGTATTTGGGGTTCTGCACAAATTTTAAAATTCTTTGTTCTATTTCTTTGAAAAATGCCATTGGAATTTTGATAGGGATTGCACTGAAGATGTAGATTGCTTTGGGTAGTATGGACACTTTAGCAATATTCTTCCAATCCATGAGCAAGAACATCTTTCCATTTATTTGTGTCGTCTTCAATTTCTTTTATCAATGTCTTACAGTTTTCAGTGTTCACGTCTTTCATGTCAGTTAAATTTATTCCTAGGTATTTTATTCTTTTTGATGCAATTGTAAAAGTGATTGTTTTAATTTCTCTTTCTGATAGTTCATTATTATAGAGATGCAACTGATTTTTGTATGTTGATTTTCTATCCTGCAACTCTACTGGATTCATTTATTAGTTCAAACAGTTTGTTGGTGGAGTCTT